TTTCACTGGGGAAATAACTTGGCTTTTCATTAAAGTATACAAATTCTTCTTGTTGGTAAACAAATGAATAAATTTGACCTCCAAAAAATTCCTCACTAAAGAAGATTAGAGTGTTTGGCAGGGAAATTTTGGGAGGCCTGAGCCCAGGGGGAGGAGGTGAAACTCTCCACTGTGCTCTGAGTCCTGCACTGGGCTGATACAAGCTGCACTGAGCTGATTGTCCTGCTGCGTGAAGAGCTGATCTGCCCCAAGCTGATAATGAGGGCCAAGCACCACAGGCTTCCAAACCACCCCACCCAGGCAGGACCGTTGAAAAGACTTCTCTTTTTTAAAAAAAGAGTTTTCAGAGAACGTCCTCATTTTAAAATTCCTCCATTTATTTAAAGCTCCAAAATGAGTCAGGACAGTGTCAAATGACATGTAAAAACTACGAGATCATTTTGCAGCTAAATGTACCAATTTAACTTTCACTCCCTGAGGTTATTGAAGGTTATTTGTCCTTTAGTTTTGTTTGAAAATGTATACATCACTCAGATTTTCAATTATTTGCTAAAAAAGAAAAAACCTTTTCTTTGCATTCTTTTTATATTACACCATCAACACTCACATAGGTACTGTTCTGCACATTGATTTTATAGAGGCTGCAGTTTTAGTCCTTGGGGTCTTCCGTGCGTTCTTTATCTGAGTCTTTTCTAATTAAGACCTTTATGTAAGGGACCTGGGAGATGGCTCAGTGGAATAAGCACTTCCCTGGCAAGCGCAAGGGCCTGAGTTCAATCCCTGGTTCCGCAAAAAAAAAAAAAAAAAAAAAAAAAAAAAAAGAACTTTATATGACCAGAATAATGAAAAGTTATGGGTGAGAGTAAAAGTACTAAAAGAAAATAAGAAAGTATTAATGTTGTGAGGTATAAAGTTTTGTTAATATGTTCCTTGATGTATCACTAAGGGGCTTTTTCCCTCTAAGAGTGGTAAGCAATGTTCAGACACTGAAGAATCTGTGCCAGTTTCAAGAGAGTGGGCATTGAGGGGAAGACTGAGTTTCAAGTCAGCAGCTGTCAGAATAAGAACCAGAGAGCTGTCAGAGCAACTCCTACTGAGACTTTTTACTGGCTGCAGTAATTGAAACCTTAAAGAACTCATCTCTTTTGATTTATCAAACATTTTCCCTGAATGTCTTCTGTGGACTTCAAAACTGATTTTTTTGCTGTAAAGATTGTGGCTCTTATCTACTCAAAAATATATTAGAAACATTACATGAGATCTACCTGCTTTAGAAGTTTTAAGAGTATAATACTGCACTGCATTACTATAATTAATTCAGCATTGTATAAAGGCACAAAGTTTACCAGATCTGCAGAACTTAGTTGCATAACTGACAATGTTCATGCATTAAAGTTCAGATCCACATTTTCTTTCCTGTAGTCACGGAAAATCACCATTTTACTATCTGTTCCTATGAGTTTGACTCTTTTTAAACTTACTTCATGAGTGTTAATATTGGTCTTTCTGTGTCTGGCTTAAGTTGATACAACTTCCTAATGTTTGGGGCAACTTTATCCATGTTTCCCAAATGGCAGGATTTCCTCCTTTTCAAAGACTGAATAATATCCATTGTATTTATATGCCACATTTTTAACGTATTCATTTATGATGCATGTTCTAGTTTTCTCCATATCTTGTTTATTGTGAATAGTGCTGTAATAAACACTGGACTACAAACTATCACTCCCTTTAACAGTTCTATATATATTTTTTAAAACAGGATTTCTCTATGAAGTTTAGGATACTCTTTAATTTCTTATATAATCCCCCTGGACTCCAGCACACAGTTAACTTCCTACCCCAGCCTGACAAGTGCTGGGATTACTGCAATGTGCCACCATGTCCAACTCTTAGAATGCATCTCTTTGTGATCCTGATTTCAATTCTCTTGTATACCCAAAAGAGATATTGCTGGATCATCTCATAATTTTTTTAGTATTCAAAAACATCATAGTGTTTTCCATAATGGCTACACAATTTTACATTCCCATCAAAAGTATACAAGGGTTCCAATTATTTGATATAATTGGCAATACTTATTAGCTCTTGTTTCTTTTCTACAATAGCCATTCTAACAAAGGTGACATGTCTCATTGTAGTTTTTAATTTACATTACTTTAACAGTAAATTGATAATCTTTTAATAGATCTGTTGCCTATATCTGCTTTAGAGAAATGGCTATTAAATCTCTTTTTTATTTTTAAATTTAATTTTGTAGGCAGTGTTCTGTTTGCTATTGATCTGGAGAAATTCCTTGTACCTTCTGCATAAAATGTCATCAGCCTTATTTTTGTACAAGAAAGTCTCTGAAAGCCAAAATATTCTTTATTTTTATTTGACTTATAAGCATTCATATAAACAATTAAATCCATTGTGAACATGACTATTATACCATTCTGAAATCCCTTAGTTAACATTTTTGGTTCCTCTCCCTGTATTCCCAAATCACCACACTGAGACTATTAAACCTACAACTAATTTGTGACTGAAGTTATTAAATAGTTTAATCAATAGGCCAGTTCTTTATGAAAAATAGTGTCTGTTCAATGTATGATGTTGGGAAAATTGCATAGCACCATGGGAAAGAATGAAATTAGGCACTAAACCAAACATCAAGTCAAACTGAACTGAAGACTTGAATGTAAGGCAGGAAACTATAAATTCCTAGAAAAAAAAAAACATTGGTCATGGCAATAATTTCTTGAATATGGAAACAAAAGTGTAAACAATAGAGCAACTGGAATTAAGTGTGCTGTGGACAGCTCCAGTGCTTTGTAGGAAGGAATGAAATCATGCTATTATTTTCTTCTTGCTTGTTTGTCTCACTTTATAAGTTTTTTAAAGTAACTTTGCCTTTGAGATAAATTTCTGCCTCCTCCTTTTTTCTCCATCAAAATAATATATAAAATATTATGATTTTTTATATCATATATTAAAATGTATCTCATTTTCAAACATTTTGTGATGTGATTAGCTTAATAAATGAGGTATCTTAATTTTTGTTTCCTGAAATTCACAAAAAATATAATCCTATATCTTAATTTTTGTTTCTTCTATTTGAATGATTATAGGTATAGCTAAATCATACTTTTAAACATCTTACCTATGAGTACAGAAATAAAATAATTTCCTTGTTTTAAAAAAGAGCCTGCAGCAAATTTTGGGTATGGTGTTGGCTTGAAGCCTGTTACAAATCTGCAGTTAGATATTCATGGAGTTGTGAGCTCTATTTCCTAGAAAAAAAACAGAAAATAAGTTGTGGGTAACCTCAGTTCTTTCACTTTTGCATTATAAAGACTCAAGAGAGTGGGCAACCCACAGTTCTTCTTTAATGATGCTCAGACATAACATCTAAAGTCAGTCAAAGATACAAAACAAAATCTTAGCTGTTCTTCTTATATCTGCAACTATGGTTTCTTCCTGCCTTTTTGCCTGAAAACTTTACATACATTTATTTGTTTTTTGAAGTCATCTTGTGCAAACAAGAGTCATAGTCCCTCCACCCCAAATTGCCAAGTCATCCCGCATCTATAATGTGAGCAGCCTTAGCTGAATATGGCTCCTGTCGATAAAGTTGATTGTCTATGATTGGCGGGATGATTTTGAGAATTATTTTTTTTTATCCTACAGAATTTATGTTCCTGACAGCCCTTTCTGAATTCAATTACAGAGTTCCCTGTGATCTCTCTCTCTCTCTCTCTCTCTCTCTCTCTCTCTCTCTCTCTCTCTCAAATAAATTTCATCTTTGCAAGTTCTAGAGCTTTAGGAACATTGGAACAATCTACCAAGGAAAACGTGAGTACCGAATGCAGTTCTCTTCATTGCAATTTGTCGCTGTTACTATTTGGAAAATTGTCTCATTTGAACTGTCTATAATGTGTTTACATTGTCAGTAAAAATGTCATTTTATTTTTAAGAAGTAGAGAATTGTAATTCTCCTTTTTTATATGTTTCAGTTGAAACATTAACCTAGAACTTACGTTTACATAGCTATCAACATTTAGCAATGACCTGTTTGTTACACATAGAACAACTAGTTAACTTGGAACAAAATAAACTTGATAAAATTTGAGTCTCCATGGGATGATTTAATGTAATAGTCACATTGGTAAATGCTATCCAGAGAAACAATAGAGAAAAAAGAGAGTAAAATTCAAACTCTGTAGTGAGAATGGAGGAAAAAGTAAACCATGGAAATAGTGCTCAAATAATCATAATGGAAACTGACCCTTGGAAGTGTTTTTTAATATTGTCGCACACAGGTTGGATTCCTCTAAAGAGTGAGGGTTTTTTGACAATGTAGGATTTTTTAAAAATAATTATTGAAATATTAATATTTAGAAATTGATAAAAGTAGAAAACATACTAAATTTGAATTTGTAATGTTTTTGTATAAAGTAAATACAAAGAATAACAGACACATTTCTAAATATGAAGCAAATTTGTATAATTTTTTTGTATAGTTCTTTAATTACAGACCATTTCTAAGTACTTATTAAAGTAAGTTCATTATGCACAGCACTTCCCAAAGGCTTTTGAATATTTGAATGCATTAAAATTACATTTTTTTTGATCTACATGAAATTCTAAATTCCTAATTGAAACTTGTGTATCATGAATCCAAACACATTTTTTCTGTAGAAGAATAAATGTTACAACAATTTATGTGAGAAGGTATAAAGTTTTCTAAATGATTAATAGTCATTATTCTAAGTAGCAGCTATATGTAGTTAAATTTACAAAAATATAGTTATCCCTTCTAGCATTAAACACTTAAAGGCTTACAGATATATAAATATAGATTTAATACAAGTAAATGCCTTAAGATATGTGAGAAATATAATAGAAGCATTTTGATTTTACATTTGTTTTAAAATGTATTAAACAATTTCAATGGATGCAATGTATATATGATTCAGTATGATATTTTAAATTACATAAAAGTTTTTAAACTTGCAGATTATGGAGAGCAGTGGGCCAAAGGTTTTGGAGACAGCAGAAGAAATCCACCAGAGGCGTCATGAAGTGTTGGATCGATACCACAGGTTCAAGGAACGGGTTGCTGAGCGGGGTCAGAAGCTTGACGAGTCCTATCGCTACCAAGTTTTCAGGCAAGATGCAGATGACCTGGAGAAGTGGATCCTGGAGAAGATCAAGATTGTAGAGGATAAGAGCTATAAAGATATACCTACCATAGAGGTCAGTGCCAGACACTTCCCTAACCCAGACCCAAAGCTCTAACAAAAGAAACAGGTTTGTCTGTGAGAATAAAATATTATTCTACTAAAAAAAGATAATTCCCAAACAAAACAAAGTAGGTAAATAGAGTATGGTCATCAAGATATAATTAAGAGAAAATAGGAATTTGTATTCTCTTATAAAGCTGAAAAACTAAACGAAAACTCAAACAAAAATAGAGATGATAGTTGAAACATTGAAGTGTTTCTATAAAAATTATATTAAAATATTTTCTTGTAAAGAAGATTAACTATAAAAGAATGAAAGATTAGGCTTTTAGGGAAACTAATTCTTTTCCTAAATGACAAACCCTCAAATTTTCAAACCAGCATTTTATTTCCAAGGAAAACTCCAGATAGTATTTTATATTATCTTGAAAAATTTTGAAATTAACAAATGCATGAAAGAAGAGTTAGTGAATGTTTAGGGCCTCTATAACATTTTGTGTGATTTCAATATTTTATGACATTAATAACAGACTACTGGTAAAGAATCATCAAAGTTTCTAAAACAAACACTCTACAGTGTCTTAGAACCAAGGATTTGTTAGACTTAAGCACTGTTTTGTAAGACACAAGCTCACAAGAAGAATCTGGGAGGGAATGTATATAAAAATTCATCTGATTATTGCTTAGTATTAGAATTTTAATAATATACATTACATGCAAACATTGGAACACATATATTTGAAAGACAGAAGAAATTCTGACATATGGTTTATTTTATCTGAGTGAGAAAAACATTAAGGCATGGAATATATAATTGCAAATTAATTCATATCTGTTTGTACCAGGGTGGGATACATGGGCTATAGATTGTTACAGTCAAGTGTGAGAAGTTACTAGTTTTTCTTGAAGGAACAGGAATGAACCAAAGGCAAACTTTTGGAACAGAGACAGTAATATTCATTATGCAGAAACCCTGTTTTGTTAAATGGAAGGAAGATGAAAACACAGGAAAAAAATAATAATAGAAAGAGAGGTCAGGCATGAATTCAAACCACGGAAAAGTGATTCAGGTGTGCTTTTACTTAAGTTTAATTCTGTGCATTGGCTTACATAAGTTAGATGCCAAACTTGCCATACTGAACACAAACTTAAACAAAAGAATACAATCTACAGTGAGTTTTCTAGGAGGTGCAGAGTTAATTCTGCCATAGACTGTTGTTTCCTTGGTTAGGAAATCATATTGACCCATAGATACACAACTGGCATCTAATTTATATCTGCTTTTATTATAGTAGTGAACTTCAGGGATAGAAGGTGATAGATTAGCCAGACGAACAACTAATGCTGCTTGCAGGTAACAAGTAGAAAAAAAAGTCCGTATGATGGAATAGAGATATTAGGCTTCATTAGGCTTGAATTCTGTTTCTATATACAGGACAGATATTCAACGGGCCCAGAAAATAAACCAGTAAAGGAAAGATAATTCATCAAATTCAAAATAAGAGATAATTCCAGGGACTAGGTGAAATTATTGTTATTCACAAATTCAATTGATAATGACAAATAACCACCTTGAAATCCTCACCTTCATTAGGGGTATTCTGACTGTAGATTTGCACAGGTTTCAGGCAGAAACTATTATGCTGTAGCTTTTGTGTTTTAGAATATGAAAGTACACTGAGGAATAGAATCTAGCTAGAATAAAAATTTAAGTCTGCTTGCGTCAAGGGTGAAATCTTTGTCTATACATTTTTTAAATCTAGTTTGTGACATCAGAAGTTCTGCTTTCTAGGAACAGGAATGAACCAACAGCAACTTTGTGATCTATAGTTGATGGTCTTCATTATGCAGAAATTCTGTCTGGCTAAACTGAAGCAAGTTGTAAGAGTGTAACGGGAAATCCAAGAAAGGAAAGACATGGATTTCAAAATGTGCTTTTACTAAGATTTGCTTTGCTACTATTATAATTGTTCACCAAAGATGCATACATTACACTCATAACATAAGCAATGGGATCTTCCATAGAGTGTCATATCTGAGAGACACAAAATGAATTATGCCACAGGCTGTGGCTCCTTCCTTTGGAAGTCCTGTTAGTACAAACAAAATTTTTTTTTAAATTTCTTCTGGGTGTCCTCTAATGCCATGGGAAAATATTTCAAATTACATGGTGGTAATCTAGCCAGAAGATCACCTAACCTGTTTGCAAAAACAAGAGAAAAAAATTCATGCAAAGATACAGACATATTAAACATGATTAGGCATTAACTTTGTTTTGTATATAGGATGGCTCTTCAAGCAGACAAGGAAAAACACCAGATCAAGGACAGGTGAGTGATGAATTTCAAAATGACACAATGATTCCAGCTAATGAGTGTAATTATTATTCTTTCAATAGATTTAGCTGTTTGTACTATAGACAAACAGTGCTTGCCATTGTTCATTAAGTGGCATACTGGTTTTAGTTTTCTACAGGTTTCTGAAAGAATTTATGATGGAATTACTTTCATTTCACTAGAGTGTAAAACTACACTGACGATTAAAATATAACAATGAATGCTAGTTCATCTCTGCATACATCAAGTTAGAAATTTCTGTATATAGATTAGTTGACTCCAGTGTAAAATCATTAATTCCAGTGGTTAGGAAAGGGCTGAATCATAGTCAACTGAATGATGTGGTGTCAATAGTCTTCATTATGCAGAAACTCTGTTGTGTTAAACTCAAGGAACATAAAAAAAACAATAGAATTACATGACGTTACAGTACAAGTGCTCATATGTCCTGAGTCTTAATTGAACTTTGAAGGCTAGGGCCAAAATGTTGGCTTTCCTTGCGGCCCTCCTTTTTCTCTAATTTTGGTCTGTAAACTTAGGTTGTTAACACTCCAGAAGACAAGCTTATTGTTATAACCATACAAACTAGGCTGTCAAGCATAACCTCACTATCTGTCTGAATATCAAACATCTTAGGCATAACATGGAACAGGTATTTTTCATCAAGTATGGATATGTTGAATTTTAAGTCCCTACAGAATATGATGGAATAACATTTGAAAAATTAAAATATATTTAAAAATAGGCATAAACAATTGCATAATTCATACATTTACACATAAGTCCAGAAATCTGACCATATACAACCTTGTAGCAGGACAGTCCCACAACATTCCTTTTCCTGTCTCCTGCCTCATTCACCACCCCCTTCTTTTTGAACAGTCATCTACCTGAGAGACAGCATACCAGCAACTGGCATGTCATGACAAGCAGTCCATATACAGAGGACCAGAATGACAGGCACTTCAAGCATGAACCTACTATTACAAATTGCCATCTTCAGTGCAGTTGCTTAGTTCACAGGTGTCAGTGTATATAGTTAGTCAGTGAGAGAATCATTCCAATTAACTGCTAGATTCAAAAATCTCCTGCAGATTCTCAGGATCACTGCCTTACCCATCTTCTACTTATACTTGTATGACTTGCCACTGTCATGTTTCCTAGCTCTTCTCCTTTCCCTCTCTTAACTATTTAGTCCTCAAGTTTTGCTTTCCTTTTAGTTGTATTATACCTTTCTATTTGCATTTCTTCTTTTGAGTTCTTATACTAGGGTAACTATATGATATTTACACATGTGTGTCTGGTTTATTTCACTCATGATATCTTCAAGTGGCATCCACTTTAATCTAAAGGCTTTGAGTTTATCATTCTTTATGGCTGAGTAATACTCCATTGTATAAAAATGCCACATCTTTTTCATCCATTCCTCAGGTGATGGGCATCTTGGTTGTTTCCAAGATTTGGCTATCACAAATTGTGCTGCTATAAACATAAGTACACTTATATCACCATGATATGATGTTTTCAGATCCTCTGGGAAAATTCCCAGTACAGGAATAGCTTGCATCTTGTACAGCAAATAACCACTAGGAAGAGAGTATGCAATGTGTTAATTATTGAAACTGTCCTTCCAATTTGATTTGAAAAATAAATAAATAAATATAAAACCTTTAAAAGAGTAAAAAAGAAGAACACAATGGAAAGACCAACAACACATAGCTAAGCACTCAGCAGTGAATTCTAACAAGAGATAGAGGATTCAAATGATGGCTTTATGGAATTTTGATTTCAAGTACTATAGATTCATATGTACCAGTTGCAAAATGTTCCATATAGATCATCAACAGTGAGATCCTCTCTACATTGTACTTTCTTAGAGACATTGAATTAACTCTACCATAACCAGTTTCTTACTTGTTTAGAAATCATCCTGAGACATTGATGTATCTCTGGTATCTATTTGATGTCTCCTAATGGCACAGTGGTTTACTTCAGTGATAGATAGTGGTAGTCTAACCTTTAGATCAAGTAGTTCTGCTTCCAAGCAAAAAGAGAAAAAATAAAGTTCATGGAATGATACTAATAAATTATCCTTCATTAGGCATTAACTCTCTTTTGGTTCATAGGAAGGACCATTGACCAGTCCAGAAAGGACACCAGATCAAGGAAAGGTGAGTGCTCAGTTTCAAAACCAGACTGAAAATTCCAACATATAGATGGAATTATTATGTTTTTGAAAAAAAATGTGCATCATATGCCTTTCTTAAAATCTGCAGATTAGCAAGTGCTATTTTGGCTTTAGTTTTATACAGACTTCATGGAAAATTATTATGGTATAAAGTTTGTGACACTAGAGTTGGAAAATATACACAGTAAAAGAATTGAACAGTAACCACTTTTTGATTTTGATGAGATAAGGGTAGAAATTGTATATGGTGTGTGAAACTAGTTTGAAAGTCCTTTAGTTGGTCTTCTAGAAAAGACTGAAATAAAGACAAACACATGGTTGGGATTCAGTAATATTATGTATGAAGAAATTGTAATTAATTTGCTAAATGGAAAGAGCATAAGAACACAAGGGTAAAACTAAAAGCATATTGGGAAGTCTGGTTGTATTCAATCGAGAGACACAGGATTCAAGATTCCATTACATGAATATTTTTTGAATATTATACTTACTGACATCAAACAAAAACCCTGCAGAGATGACATAAGCCAAGGGATTATCTGTGGAAGATATTTGTCAGAGATGAAGAGGGACTTAGGCCAAAGGCTTCATGTTCCCTACTTTTGAAAACATAGTGACAAATAGATACATTTGGTTTTACCATGAAGTCTAAACATGAAATATCCTGCTTGCAAGGAACATTAGAAAAAGTGAATCCAAATAAAATTCACATAAGCATTATGTGTGCTTATTCTAAAGTAATTCACAGATAAAAAGTGATAGCTCAGCCTGAAGAAGATCGAGCTCTCCTTGTAAGTAAAACTTGGAAAATAATGTCCATGTGATGCTATAGAGATAATAGTCATTATTAGGCATTAACTCTGTCTCTGAACACAGGACGGAACTTCCACCGGACCAGAAAGTGCACCAGAAGAAGCACAGGTGAGTCCAGAGTTTCTAAATCAGGCAGATAATTAAAGGGGATTGGTCAGATTCTTATGCTCCAAAAAAATACAGTTGTTTATGAAACATCTTCAACTTGCAATCAAGACCTTAATAAGGAGCATTATGCCTTGAGACATCCACAAGGTTCCAGAAAAAACCACTGTGTGTTCGATTTCATGTCTGTAGAAGGTGAAACTGCAATGAGGAATATCATTAGGCCATGATAAAAGTTCAGCCATGCTTGTGTCCAGGATGAACGTTTTGTTTATATGTTTTATTTTCATTCTCTACTTGGAGGAACAAGTCGTACTGCTTACTAGGAACACCAATGAAAAATGGCAATGCTATGGTCTGCTTTCAAATGTCTTAATTAGGAAAAAACTCTGTTTTGCAAAACTGAAGCACATTATGAGAGAACAAGGGAAAATTAAAAAAGTAGAAGTGTGAGCAGTGATGAATTACAATATTAAATATGGCTTTCATGATGTTATTTTGCTTAAATGTGCTTACCAGGTTTAAAGTTAGTCACTCCATAAGCATCCCTTACATTCATGATGAACTCACTAGGATCCTCCATACAGTGTAATATCCGGGAGCTACAGAATAAATTATGCCTAGAGTCTGTGGGTTCTTTGTTTGCAGCCATACTGGAACATATCTGTATCATTTGTTTCCTTGGGACATCTCCTTAAGACATAGGAGATTATTTCAGACCAGATGGAGGTTTTCTAGTCTGAATTTCAACTCTTCTGCTTGCAAGGAACTTAGAAAAATAGAATCCAGATAACGATTCAGACAGCTTAAGGCTCATTACACGTTATGTTTATTGTTCTTAGGATAGATCTTTCCTTGGGCCACAGACCATAGCAGATTAAGCACAGCTGAGTCATAAATTTCAAAATGAGACAGACTATTCCAGCGTAGGAGTGTAATTATTATACTTTCCACTGGTTCAATAACTTGCACCCTAGACAAGCATTGGACACCAGTGTCTAAGAAGAGGTATTCTGTCTTTAGTTGCCTAAAGGCTTCTGAAAGAATTTATGCTGGGTACGCCTGTATTCACTAGAGTTTGAAGGTAAACAGGGGATCACACTACAATCTTGGACGCTAGGTTTCTTTTGCATATATCCATGTAGAAATACTGTTCCAAAGTAGTTCAGCTCCACTTGATATATCTCTAGTTCCATCACTTAGGAAAGGCCGTATGATAGTCAACTGAATGGTGCAATGTCAAAAGTCTTCATTATGCAGAGACTCCCTTGTGTTAAACTCAAGGAACATAGGAAGACGAGGGAAAAAGAGCCAATACAGAACTCAGCAATCATCAGTGAGTTTTAATAAAAGATAGGGGATTCAATTAGTAATTTTACCAATGTTTATTTTAAACATCTAGAGTTTCCTACATAACCAGAAGAAATAAATGATTAAAAAACCATCAACAATGGGATCTTCTGTACGTTGTGATTTCTAGCAGATATTGAATGAATTCTGGCATAGGCTGCTGCTTCCTTCTCTACAAATCGTCCTAAGCACTGATACAGCTTTGCTAGCTGTGTGATGACTCCATACGCCATGGTGGCTCACTAAACGGGGACATTGCGTTAGTGTAGACTGAAGATCATGGAGTTACGCTTCAAAGGCAAAACCAAAAAGCAAACTCTGTCCCACTGGGTGTAAACTGTTTTTCTGTACACAGGAACGACCATCCAACAGTCCAGAAAGCACAGCAGATAAGGACAGTTGAATGCTCAATTTGTAAATCAGACTGATAATGCCAGCAGATGTGGAGTTATAAAGATTTAGAAAATAAATTTGTGTACACGCTATAGCTTCCTTAAAATCTACACAATAGAAAGAGGAATTCTGGCTTAGATTTGCTAAAGGCTTCAGACAGCATTGACTATGTTGTAAGCGTTCTCCCTGTAGAGGGGGAAAACATACACCTTGATAGAAAACAACCAAAAACACGGTCTAATCCTCCTTAGGGCAGGGTAGAACTCCCTGTAGAGGGGGATAACATACGCTTTGATAAAAAACAACCAAAAACTGTGTCTAATTCTCCTTAGGGCAGGGTAGAAAACAGCCCACAATGAGAGACCTGAGCTTGGAAAACTTTGTTTGGTCTTGCTAGAAAGGAGAAAACGAAAGACAAACGCATGATAATGAACCACAGATATTAAGTATATAGAAACACTAGTGTTTTAAAAGGAAAGGAACATATGAACACAAGGGTAAAACAAAAAAAAAAGACAGGAAGTATGAATGAATTCTATCAAGAGGTGAGACACAAATTTTCTTTTTAATAAATATCTCTTCAGACTGCTGTACTTACTTGCATAAGATAGAAAACTTGCAGAGATGACATAAACCAAGGAATCCTCTGTCCAGGTATTTTCTCAGAGATGCAGGGGTATGTATTCCATTCAATGTGGGTTCTGTGACTTTGCAAGCATAGTGACACACAGATATAGCTTTGCTTTCTTCTAGATGCCTGCTCAGGTCGTGGTAGATTTATTCCGGAGTCCTTGATGAAAGGCGAGCCCACAGATCACAGATTTTGCTTGCAAGTGAAATGCAGAAACCAAAGTCCATGTAATGTTACAGATCCATAACAGTGCATTAAGCACTTGCTCTGCTTTTGCACACAGGATGGACCTCCAAGTGGCACAGAACATACACCAGATGAGGGACAGGTGAGTCCTGAGGTTCCACAACCAGACAGATACTCCACCTTAAGAGTGCTGTCACAAGTTTAACAGGTATTTGGGTGCTTTCCGCATTTACCAACCTTGAAATCCAGAGCTAAGTGAGTGGTATTTTGGCTTCACTTTTCCAGAGACAATAGGCAGAGGGAATTAGGTTTGTATCCCTGGAGTGGCCAGTGCACTAAACAGGGAACATTTCTTTGAACATTCATGGAGGTGTACTTTTGCGTGAATAGGACATGTTTCTTAGAGTTTTAGAGTCCATTCTGAGCTTCTACTGGTGCAG